AAAATTGAAATGCAAATGAGCAGTGTCACAACATTACCAACATAATGGGTTTGCGACCAGCATTGATCCAGATCAGCCTGCGCATCCTCGCAGTCTGATCAGGATCCATGCTGTTCGCTTACAAACCCTATAACAAGTAGAGAAACTGATAGCGAACAGCATGGATTCTGATAAGACTGCGCGGATGCGCAGGCTGGTCTGGATTCATGCTGGTCGCAAACCCATTATGTTGGTTTTGTCATTGCGCGGCTCAAATGCTTTCAACTCAATCCGTATGCCATTTTTACGACGATTGTTACTCATTTTAGCCATATCTCGGTTGTCGGTTCATCTCATCGGCTGTCCTAGCTAACTAGCTAGTTATCTGGATAATTAACTAGTTATTAACCAATATCTCTGCAAGTATGGACGTGAAACGCAATATTCCCCTGTCGTTCATATTATAAATATTACCAAATGTTCCAGCGGGAATGTGTTTTTGAAAGTCCATTTATTGCAATTTATTTACTTTTCGGTCAAATGTCTTGTTCAAATCATTGAATTCCTGCAACACATTATTGTTTCATAGCAACTCAAGGAAAATACATTTAGTTCATGAATGTGCTGTTCTGAGAGTTTGTATTGCTCAAGTTGATTACTAGTATGTAAAATTGTGTTCTCTTATACAATTAACTATATCAATGCAATTTATCAGAATACCCAGTACATGTTATTTTCCGTTTATCATATCTTTGGTGAAATGCATAACAAATAATTAAACAAAACAAATACATTATTTTATTTTATTTTTTTTTGGGAGGTGGGGGGGGGGGGGTTGAAAGGGGTTGAACACTTTGCAATACCGTTCATCAACGTGCTCGTTCAAAATTTTCAAATTTGCCGTTTGGTTTGTTTTGTTATAGACCCTGTATTTTTCAATTTTAATTCACGGACTGCATGCATTTGACCCTCGTATGCAACATGTCATATAAATAGTTTCAATCATCTTAAATTAAAAAGAACATACTTGTAATTGTAATATATTCTATGGGCATTTACTCTAACGCAAAGAAACAGTTATATAAAATTGATTAACAAGAACATATGATGAATAATGATGTATTAAGTGTACGTATACACACAGAGACATGTTAGAAAGATCTTTTGAATCATTATTAAAGTGTCATGATGTATTCTTCTTGATCTGTTGTCTAAATGTTTTATTATCGTCGATCCTGGACGGTGACATACACAAATAACATGATTCGACCAAAATTTACCCGTATACAACTTGCCAATCAAAACGGATAATTTAATACCACATGATAACAAAATGGACGACAAAATACCTTAATAAGGGGCGCCTACGTGGCGAGCTATAAGCTATGTTTTTGTCGGGTTACCTTTATAAAGAATTGAAATACATCTTCATGTACGAAGCTTGAAACAAGATGTAGGCTCCTATGGGGTAAACAATAAATGGAATATTTATTTTTAAAGAAGAAACATTAACTCCTTTTTCAAGAATGAGTCCATGAGTCTGAAAAGAAAAAAAAACATTTTTCGAGTATCCGGCTGAAAGCATTTTCGAGATGATAATACTTGTTACACTAGCATTAATGGACAGCTTTAAGAAATCCAGTTTTGCTTCGTATGATATTTTACTGTTTACGAGATCAACATTGACATTCATGTCATATGTAAAATGCGCAAACATTTTAATAAAACCTTTCTTTTTGAATACACAATTAAAAGGGATGTTCATATTTTAATAGCACTTATAATTTTATTTTCCGAATTATTTACTTTGCGAGATTTGAGGTCGTGTGAATTTCTTTGAATACAAATTGCTATGTAATATTATAACCATAAATGTCTTTATGAAAAGACGATATGTATCAATTAATTCAGCTTTAGTAACCACAATGCAAAGTAGAATGAAGAGATTTTGTAAAATATAAATTGGATATTTGTAAATAATGTAATGTTGGAAATAATAAACCTGTTCAAATGTACGGAACGAAAACCATAAGTATACATTCAAACTGAATTCAATCTCCAGAAACACCGTAGTGATTCAGAAGATCACAACGCAAGACATATTGTGACAGCCCACACAATACAATTCATACTAACTTTCAAAACCATGCCAAATTAAACAATTCTTAACTTTTAAATGTATATATACATAGTATAATGACTCTTTATATTACTTTAAGTTCTGTACAAGTGTTTTCTTTAACTTAAAGAGATGTCGTGCATTCTTGAAACAATCACCATTGTAGTATCCCATGACTTTATGTCATACATCAGTAATCATCTCAAATAGCCAGACAAATTCATTATATAAACATAAGCAGGAATATACAGTTATATCTGCTGGGTACACTTTAAAAATTATGGTCTCATAACAAATATTTCAAACAGTCCAAAACTGAAGCAAAACCAATAGAGCTCCCTTTTAGATGTTACCTTTATGCTTGGTCTGTTACAAATTTACTTTTTGAAAGCACACATCTTATCAGCGTTTGTTGGGTGACACTAAAGTGACATTTAGCCTATCCAAGGTTATACAGTGAGTGGACAGGTAAAATAAGTCTACATTTTAACATAAGTCCCTTCAATTTTACAAATTACTACACATGAACAATTTATAACTCATTTGACCCAAGTTTCTGTATAATTATATCCACTAGAGTTTACTTGTAACGTTTAATTTATAAAAGATATTAGGGCATTATTTTATATTTTAGGCCGATTTAAATTTTTTCTTGAACATTTTCCTGTATCAACTATTAGACTTTTAAAATATACGAAGAGAGTTCAAATAAGAATGCATCTAAAACGTTATATTGTTCAAAATTGCAAACAAACACAAGGAAATGAAGGTTATCGGGTAGATATAGCTCTACACAACTTGTGAACAGAAGATTACATTATGCCATTTAAATACGGTCTTATGTGAAGAATAATTGTCTCCTTAGCATAAGGAAATATCTTATTTAAATCATAATTCGTTGTTTATTAAATTCAAATTTTTCGACTGAAGATGCATCCTATGCCAGTAGACATAATAGCAACGCCAGTCAAGATTGTTGCTAAAGCGTTAATAGTTAGAAATAATAAATGCCGATGCAAGGTACTCCAATAGGAAAATGGTATCGTTGGCATCTCAGTAAGAGCAGCTCATACCATTCTCAAAAATGATTTGAAAATGAGAATGATAGGTGCTAGAAAAGAGATGAGCAGAAAATAGTTGATGCTCAAACAGTATTAAACTCGGGATCCCGTCATTGAGGTTGCTGTTCCCTAAAGGCAAACCTGTAAATGCGAACTTTTACAAGAGAATTGTTCTTCTAAACTTAAACAAACACTTTGATAACCAAACGCAACAGATTTGGCCAATATCAGATTGCTGTATGACAACGCGTCATCACACAAGGCGTTATTAGTACAAGACTTAAAAAAAGCAGAAAAGGTCGTTTTGCTCCCTAATCCTCCGTATTGACATGTTCTTGTCCCATAATGACGTTTTTTTTTTGTTTCCAAAGCTAATTTAAATTGTATTTAAGGTCGTTAGGTTGTGCAGCGCAAACACCTAGTTCTGAAATTTTAAAGTGTATTCATAATATTTACAAATGATTTTGGAGGCTAAACCTCTGTTGGAGGTGAATACTTTGAGGGAACAAAATAATAATTCAGTGAAACCTATGAATTCATATTTGAACACCTCTCGTATAGTCATTTAAGCTCAACAACAAAAAAGGAGCATAATGTCACTTTAATTTGACTTGGTAATATTTAACTGATCCAATATCATTTGTGGATTTTCATATTAGTATACAAAACATCAGCAAAATATAAATAATTACATTGACTATTGACTTTTGGGTCATTTGCTTGATAAAAATAATTAATCTGGAAAACGGAGTGAGGGAATGGTCTGAAAATTTGCAAACAAGTTATTGTACTTTACCTACATGGAATGGTGCTCAAATTCTGGGGAAATATTTCAGTCTCGTCATCAGTTCAGTCTCTTTAATATAATTGCATAACAATTCATTACAAAAATACCTAGCCGTCGTTTAATTATGCTGCATAGATGTAAAAAAAAAAATATTTTTATTTTATTAAGAATTATAGAATGAAAACAATGCAATTAGATCAATTAAAAACGTAGTGAATGGTGCTCGAAATGCCCTTTAACGCTTTAAGAACAGATATAAATCTAAACTTAACTTATCATGATTTACTATTTATTAAGCGCATCTACCGAATGAGTCTAATATGAATAAATATAAATTTATTACATGTAAAAGTATAGATAAAATAGATAAAATATCCTATGTATTGCGAAACTGTAAAATGATATTCTAGTAAGTCAAACTGTAAATGATCTATAATACAATTCTTATGTTTCCGATTGATTATTGTTATGAAACAAATTATAGCATTCAGCTAAACAAATCACACAAGCAAAATGAGTTTTTCTACTCAAATTTATAAACAAAATAAGTTTAAAAATGATACCCTCCCACACCCATTTTCTAAATTGTTTGACCATTTGCTTTCTTAGAGAGCTTACTGCATTGTAAAATTTAGCCACAACAAATTACCGACAAACAATCTTGCGCATTTATCTACTAATCATTAACATGAAAACATCCGTGTTTTTTATCTACTGTGATTTGTAAAATCCATTGATATATAAATAAATGTAACGCAATTATAATTCTCATTAAATAGCTACTGTAAAATCTTATGCAAAGTGTTTACTTCTTTCCAATTACCAGATCAATGACTTGAGCCTGATATTTTTTCTGTCTCTAGAAAACCGAGGAACCATATCTTTTAAAATGATTTTGTTATAAAGAAAGTGCTCAAAACTATGGTTAATGAAACCTAGATATGCAAAATATGTTGTAAATCATTTCATCCATAACCAAGTTTAAACCAAACACAATTATTTCATATTAATGACTTAAATGGGTATAATGGTACAGACCTTTGATGTAAGAGAGAAAACATTTCACTCCTTTCACGCCACCGTAAACGCCCAGTTTTATATAAACCTTACCCGAACATTTAAGATGTCATAAAGATTCACAGTTTTAAAATTTATTACCATTGGTTTAGATGTATTGCTATAATAGACATGCAATTGGATAGCAACACTTTTGCGTTACGGTCTTTGAGGCGCATTTCTTGCTAACTTTAGTTTCGAGTTGGAAGCAAAACGTGCATTACATATGTGAAAAAAAGACCAAATATGTAGAAGCTTCCAATTTTTTAGATTGTGTGTTTTATTTGAAGACAGATTTGAGGGATATTACGAATGTAAATCTGAAAAAGTTCTTGAAAGTATTAAATAGAAAAGGAGAAATAAGTGATTAAAGATTTTAAAGTATGACTTGATATCAAACATTGATTGGATATAGATATATTCGAGGAGCAACGGAATATATCAAATCTAAAGAGATTTAAATATTACTGGTAAAAACTTTATTCTATTTCTTCCATTGTTTCTTTCAATTTTCAAAAAGTTAACGTATTCAGCTAAAACTTGGCATTTTTGTTAGCCATTGAGTAGACAATTTATTTGTTTTTTCTTGAATTTAAATTATAAAATATTTCATGCAGCGTTTAACATAAACACCGCACAATCTATGCAATGTACCATCCCGCTTTGAAATTGAAAGGTCCATTTTAAAATGTTTCAATATTCCAATATTCAGCCCTAACTCTGCTGGAACAGAAATTGCCGTTGCCACTATTAAAGAGCCAGGCCAAGCCGCACATCCGTACAGTCTGACCAAGCTCTATACATTTTGCATTGTGTTTCATCTTCATATCCTCGTAAATAATAATGTGTAACAGTTTAAGGGTTAAGGGCTGAAACTTGCAAGCCATCAGTAAGGCGCTGGCTCATATGTTTACTCTATATTGGTGGTATAAGTTAAGGAAATACAGTATCGCCGTTGACATTCATAGTGTTAATACCCGCCATTTATAGTCTTTCATTTAATAGTCGAGTATATTTTGTATTAATGTATTTTTAAGATCTACGTAAAAATGAAAAGAGATTTGTATTAAAATCGTTTTCTTTTCTCGGTCAATCAATTCAATTGATCAGTTAAAATGCTCCATTGAACCTTTTAAACTGTTGCCATCGTATAAATGTTTTGGGCCTGATTAATAATTTAGCAAAAATATGTAATGGACATTTTTATGGGATGATTATCAGATAAAAAACATTGAACTTTCTTGACTTGAAAGTTGTCAATGTTTATACGTCATACTTATTTTGTATTTATTTGCTCTAATAATGGTTGAGAGAAAAGAAAGTAAGAAGGTAAGTACATGCATTTATACTTTTATAGCGTTTTTTTTCAGTTTTTTGAATTGTATTCAAATAAAGAATAATCAGACTGTCATATAAATGTATAAAGTTTGATTATATATTACCTTATATTAACAAAAAAGTAAGTAAAGCGAGTCTGTTTCAAGATTTGTTTAATTAATGGGACGAGTTGTATGTAATTCTAAATTCAATGAAATTGGATATAAGATTTTGTGTGTATTAGCTTGCAAAGTCACCGTTTGACGAGTCGTTTGATATTAAAAGAACTTTTGATATATAAGGAAATACGCGATACAAAATTATTACAAATATTATATTTAAAACCTGCGACGTCTCGTAAAAAAGCTAAGTACCACCATTAATGTGTGAGGATTAATCAGATACTGTACTTAGGGACATTTTTGTGGAGGTCAACATTTCGTCATTTCTCAATCCTTTTAAGGAGTGGCGAAATATCATGACCAAACATATAACTTTATCCATTATTGAACGTTAGACGGTTAAAATATGCCAGTACAATAATATCCGAAGTACGCTATGATTAGATAAAAGAAAAAAGTAATATTTATTGCAGAAATTATAGAAAATAATATGTAAAGAATCTCACATGGATTTCCATACAATATAAAATTCTATTGAACGAATTGAAGAAAATGTTATAAAGCTAGCATAACATTTTCTTGGACGATTTTAATAACATTCATTATGAATTGACAATCAATGTGGGATTCTTTCTTTTTTATATTGAAATGGATGAAAATTCATTTGTTTTGAAGTTTTTTCGCGCGCTTTTATACGCCGATGTAATATATAACACGTGTGTAGATTCTAAAATAAAGAAATACATACGAATATTAGATTTCATAGAAAGCATGTTAATATAAGTATTAAATGCCTATAAGATTAATATTTTCATTGCAGGAGATTGGGATGTACATGTTTTATGGGAAAACGAATTACCGTTTAATTTAAGTCCGGAATCTTGACAAAAACGTCGGACTATTTTCTATCACACCGTATAATTATAATATCATTTCATAGCTAAAGTATAATAAAACCGGACCTATCTTTCATTTATGATGTCACAAGTCATGATGAAAGCTCTTTCTTTGAATTAGAACATTAATTTATGTGTTCTCCGTTCTGTATAAAATTTGAGATGCTTCAATCATGTTGTTAATTAAAATAACAGTTTAAGAAAATTAAAGGTGTGCTAAAAGTTTCACTCCTATCTTTCGGCGTCCAATTTCATATTCACAATAACGTGCGTAAAATTCACACGCATTTAACACATTATACAGTATCATATTTAGCGTGCGGCGAGAGCACTCAAATCTTTGATTATCTAGATAAATACGGAGTGGAGATTATTATTTTTCACTGAGGTTTTTTTCTGATAATTGATATGTTCATATCATTCTTCTGATGATTTTTACCCAAAAAAAAAGAAAATACAATGTACAATAGGAATATCAGAAACGGGTGCAATCAAACCAAATCTGCGATTTTTTCTTCATTATTGCCCAGGGATCACCATTTCCTTTCAAAAGAGAGAATGAGGTGTAAAATTCAGATGCGATTATGGACATTGTCTAAATATATTGTCTCGTGAGTTAGAGATATAGATAGATTTATTGTCAGTACTTGATATTTTGAATAAAGTATCGAAATCTTTTGCTTATTCAATCATTCACGTTCTTTCTACATACCACGCAAGCCGTGGCACGTCCTCTACTAGTACTGAATACGATAATTCTTCATGTAACATGTATTTACTGCACGTTATTTACACTTAAAAACATATAATTTATAAATTGAATTCATTTTAATTATATAGACACAATATTGCTTGGATGAATGTCTTTCATCAGAACAGGATTTAACCCTTTTATTTACATTCTTAAATATCGTATCTAGAATATCTGAACACTGACAGCGCAAGTAATGCTCAGATGTGACAAAAGTTATCAGTGAAAGCTTGTGACATGCACATAACTAGCACCTATGGTGACCGGTTGTGGCCATTTCAAACCCGCGAGAAATTTTATCGTTATATCAAAAATTGTCGCGGGCAACTTACAAACCACGGGATTTTCTGTCGAAATCGTACAAAATGTTGCGGGGAACGTATAAACCTCGATATTTTAAAACAGTTGTTGGAATCAGCAAGAAACATATTGACTCCTGTGGCCGGTAGCGTCAATGGTCTGACTCTACATTATATCCGTCGTTATTCTATAATAAGTCGAGGAACAGAAAGAAATGCGACATTTTTTGCAAATGTTGTAGAAATTCTACAAACGTCGAGGCCGCGACATTTTGTTCCTCAGCAACGGTCTCATAAAATATCTCGGCGAGTAGAAGCAATTTTCAGCCGCAACCTTTTGTGCAGAGACATTCCCCGGTATAAGAAGTCGAGGTTTTATGCTCAGACTCAACTTTTTACAAGGTTTACATCAAAACAAAATATCACGAATTATAATGGCCGCAATCAGCTACCTAACGTAGGCATGCGCTTGCGTGGCTTAGTCTACAATGTAGACAAAAAATGTCGCGGTTTCCTTCGTAATACTTCCCGACTTTTTACAACAGAAGTGTGACAGAAAAACTCGAGAGTTTCAAAGTAATTAAATCTCGCGGATAGCAACATTTTATAAACTGACGGTAATTTTTCCCGCTGCTTTTAAATGGACGCTATCGGCCACCATAGCATACCTTATAAAAAGTCAAGTTTGAGCATTGCACCTTGACTTTTATATGCCGGGGAATGTCTCTGACGGTAAAATTTCTCCGCAACCTGTCACCATACAAAAGCGCACCAGGATATTATAAACGTGTAAACAAAACTTTGCAATACTGCATTATTACAAGGCTAATGTCTGTGGTTGGGAGAAAAAAATCATAAATGCCTACATTATTGGTAACGGACAAGCAAACGATTTCAATAATACCAATGTGTATGTTTTGATTGTTTTCCTAACGCGTAGAATAGCACACAGTATATATTTGTCATTGTCTATCATTACAATTTAATATTACACCTTATTCTCTCATTAAAAAAAGATAATTGTTTGTCATCTCATCCACCGTTCTGTGTTTTTTTTTCTTTAATTTAGTAAAATAAATCAATCTTTAAAATTGGTCCGTAACGGTTTTCAGATGAAGACATGAAACTATCTTTTCCATCTTTTTGTCCCGTGATATTATAATTGAAATATTTCAGTTGCTTTGAACCCTCTTTTAAAAGATAGTATTTCATTATAATGAATGAAATAACCCTATATATTTCAAATTTATTATCATCCAACTTTCACGACAAACCTACTATTGTGGATTTGTACAATGTCAAAAAAAATGTATACATAAATCATGTTAATATAATACGTATTCCGCACAGCTAAATTTACATCTTTTAAACATTGAAATTCATTCATTACAAAAACTGTCGAGAAGTCTTTACTACTATTTTGCTTTTAGATATTGATATATGAGTTAAAAATTGAGTTAAAAGACATTGTTGTTTGATCTCAATGTTTATTGAAATTATCATTGCATTGTATATCTAAAAATATTATCGGTTTCAGCGGTGTTTATGGTTTTTTTTTAAGGGAATAAAAAAAAGAACAGCCGAAAATACTTGTAGTCCGTAACCATTGTTTATTGGCTGTTTAACTCCAGTTTTTGTAACGTAACAAATTCATGAGGCATGTTGGAATCTTTTATATACCGTGTATTTATTCGGAACATATACTTGAACCATTCATAAAAAAACATGTTCCTGATGCATTTCAAACAGTTTCTATAACATAATATCTTTCACCGTGCTGGAACTGAAAATGATTAGCCTTTGTCACAAATACAGAATCAGGCCAGCTTACACACCCGTTAAGTCTGATCAAGTTGTATACTGTTGGTATCTTTACTTTTGTATAATGACACTGGAATCCATTAAAAAATTAAATAAACTATTCAAAATACAATGCAGGGCATATCTATTGCACAAATCAGCAGGTTAATAGTATAGACTTCAATGCAAAACCTGTTAACCGCCTCCGTGGTCGAGGGGTAAGAGTCGATGACTTCTAATCCAGTTACATCTCTGGTTCGATCCCCGGGAGATGATTTGGTAGTTAAGCAAGGAGGAAGGAAGTCTAGTACTGGTGTAACTCTCCAGGAACGATGGTTAGGAAACTACCCGCCTATATGACTGAAATACTATTGGAAAAGGGCGTAAAATCAAACAAACAAACAGGAAAACCTGTTAAAAGCTACATTACTCAAAAGAAAACGACGTTACTACCTTATTTTTTATGATAGTTTAGTCTACAAGTATCCTTACTAAGACAAATTTGTTCCTGTCTATTCTTAGTGTATCTATTTCAATATTTACTAGTCTTTACAGCAAAAGAAATCCATGGAAATAAGATATTCAATATAATATTCTTTACAGTAAAAGAAATCCATGGAAATGATATATTCTATATTTTATTCAAGCAACAGCAAAAGAAACCCATGGCAATGAGATATTTGATATTTCATTTTAGCAACAACAAAAGAAATTCTTTGAAATAAAATATTTAATATAATATTCTTAACAGCAAAAGAAATCCATGGAAATGACATATTCTATATTTTATTCAAGCAACAGCAAAAGAAACCCATGGCAATGAGATATTTGATATTTTCATTTTAGCAACAACAAAAGAAATTCTTTGAAATAAAATATTCAGTATAATATTCTTTACAGCAAAAGAAATCCATGGAAACGATATGTTTTATATTTTATTAAGAAATAAGCAACAGCAAAAGATATCATTGTACAATTTTAATAAGATATTCTATATTTTATTCAAGCAAAAGCCAAAAAATCCATGGCAACAAGATACTTCATGTTTTATTTAAGCAACAGAAAAAGAAATCCCCGACTCCATGTTAATTAAACACAAGCAAAATAAATCCATGGAAATAATATATTCCATATTGTATACAAGCAACAGTCAAACATTCCACGGAAATAAGCAATGACAAAATAAATCCATGTAAAAAAATATTCAATATCTAAATAAAGCATTTATTTTATTGTAAGAATGCATGCACTTGTTTGCAGCATATTCGTTAACTTTTATAGTGCATTATTTATAAACATTTTTCAGAGGGCCTTGTTATTTAATGTTTTCTCTCTTTTGAATCCATTTCACTTTTATAATTATAACTAAATTTTAATAAGATTGCAAATTATAATAAGATTAGCGTACAAACGCTTTCGTGAATCATCATTTTCTTTTTTCTTTGCAGCTATTGTCTGACCCTCGAAGGACTTAAAATGTTTTACCTCATATTTGGCTCTCCTTTTACTAAAACGAGTGTCTAATCTTAGATAACTGATAGATATATTTGAATTCAAAAAAGGCTTTTATAGAAGACATATTGGATACATTACTTAATTAAATAAATTCAGAGGGACTTACCCTGGGAATCAATTTGAAAGATTTTGTCTCACTCAAGCCTTTGACGATAGTTTGCACCGCTATCGTTCATAAACAGGTATAATCAAATAATCAAAATATGAGCCGTGTCATGACAAAACCAACATAATGGGTTTGCGACCAGCATGGATCCAGACCAGCCTGCGCATCCGCGCAGTCTGATCAGAATCCATGTTGTTCGCTATCAGTTTCTCTACTTGTAATAGGGTTGGTAAGCGAACAGCATGGATCTTGAGAAGTTTGAATATAAAGACATGTTGTTACGTGCTAAATCCGATTTAAAAACACTTTACTTTATTGAAAAAATTCATTAAATAAATCTATGCTTTAAAACAGAATATGGATTGCATTTAGTTATGTATTTCCTTTTTTATATGAATAGGAATTTGACGAGTTAACCTTTATTTGCTAAAACCCTCTTCACCTGCTTTGAATTTGAATGGTCCATTTTAACAATGGTTCAATATTAAACAAATGCACTTTGGACCCGAAAATGATAATCCTTGGCCACCAGTATAGAGCCAGGCCAGCCATCCACACAGTCTACCAGGCTTTATACTGATGACTGACCACCTTGAGATCTAATGGACAATTACAAAAAAATAGAAACTGGGCAAGTCCGTTTAAGAATTTTAAAAAGGTTAAAGCAGCACGCCTCTAAAAATATATATATTTTAGATCTAATAAAAAAAATAAAAGTATTTTGGGTTTTTTTTCAGATATACGCATTTTGTGATTATCAACATTATTACCCCAAAAACGTAATTCATGTCAAAATTTAAAAAAAACAACACTTTAATGTCCGTGAAATTAGCGGATGGATATCGCATGTGCATAAAATAATCTGCATAAACCAGTGATTATTTCATAGTTTCGCCTTATTCAGTACATCGGAATCTTTCCTGAAATTTGACCCCCAAAAAATCTATTATATTTTAATTATTTCGACATATCACTCTTTAGTCAATTTATTCTACTCAGAACTAGTCATGCGTATTGAAATATATCGTACAACGCCCATCATTATATGCTTTTAATATTATCAACGACTTTATCAGAGGAAATCTTGAAAATAAAATGTTCTCAATATAGCAGTCCATTGAGCGGGAAATATGACACATTATCATATAAACTGTGTTAACTCGTCTGATAATATTGGATATTATGATAATTGTTGATATTATGTAAATATGTTGATGTCATAAACTGTTCGTTATTTTTGCATGTTTTGTGTCCTCATGGGCTTTAAAGTCTATTGGAATAAAATGAAATGTCTACTGTCTGTTTAGAAGTAAAGACACATGATAAATAAAGATTCGAGAAGTAATTGATGATTATTCAAATTTATATTATTATAATGATGATTATTATTATTATTATTATTATTATTATAATTATTATTATTATCACTATCATTAATTATTATTATTATTATTTTTTTTTTTATTTATTTATTCATTTATTTATTTATTTATTTATTTGCTTCCAATGCAGAACAGAAATATTAAATTATAATTTAATCAGGGGCAAAATTTTTGTACGAAATATAAAATGCTGTTTTTTTTTAATTTAGCATATGCATGTGCTTTAACTTATAACATCTTATGCATAATATCTTACTATTTTCTTTAAAAAAATCATACCACCAAATTATGCAAAAATATAGAAATATATTATAACATTTTATAGCATAAAGTTAATGTTTAATTAATTATTAATAACCTATAAATAAAACTTTCAACATGAAGTTTAATATAAATACATTAGCAAAGGGACTTATTATCTTTTTTCTCTCAAATTTCCAATAAAAGACACATCTATTTTTTAAATTTAAATTTCCAAAACATTTTCGTTATTACTTCATGAAATTTGATATTGATTTTGAAATTTTGCAACTTACATTTTAATTTGAACTTTTATTTAAAAAAATGATAATTAAGTTTACTAAATGCATCATTTTTCACAAACAAAATTTATCCAAAAAAACCATGTATATTATAATTTTAGCTATTCACTGTTAAATACTGTACAAAATTCTAAAGTTTTACTCTGTATAAAGTATAAATTTATTCGCCATCGTAACTAGGTACGGATACACCCTAGTGATGAAAATTTTAAATACGTATTTTATTATGTTAACACTTCATAAAACGAGTCTGTAGATATCACGATAGCATTGAAACAGCCTTAATTATTATATCGACCGATAAATATATGAGCCGCGTCACGGCAAAACCAACATAATGGGTTTGCGACCAGCATGGATCCAGACCAGCCTGCGCATCCGCGCAGTCTGATCAGGATCCATGCTGTTCGCTATCAGTTTCTCTACTTGTTATAGGGTTTGTAAGCGAACAGCATGGATCCTGATCAGACTGCGCGGATGCGCAGGCTGGTCTGGATCCATTCCGGTCGCAAACCCATTATGTTGCCTTTGTCGTGACACGGCTCATATCTTATTTAAAAGGCTTTAAAATGTATTTTACAAAATAACTTGAGTAACATGTTTGATTCAAATATCCTTTCCCAACCTATCTACCCATTTCACCGTTTTTATTCATATACTACAAATATGAATGTGAAATATCGCGCGCGTTCTTAAAAAATAATGTAAAATAATGACGTGCACTCGCAGAAACATTGACGTTTTGTTTGTTTTTTAATTACATTAATATTGAATATTTTAATATATACTTATGTATACTATTTTTCTTTTGGATTTTTGCAAAAGCTATTTTGATATATGAATGTATGTACAGTGCCTCGATGTCATGATAATTTCCGCTGATTTTTAGCCATATTGTATGTTTCTAAAAGGAAAATATCACTTCATCTTGTAAGGATAAAAATAAGTTGTTTGTTAGTTGTTGTTTTTTAATGTCAAAAAGCGCGATAACAAAAAAACAAAAAAAAACCAAAAAAATTGTCTAATTTGGAAAAAATTCATGTAAGAACAGACATAACTTGCAATGCAGTTGGGCAAGGAAAGTCCTTATTCCCGGCATTGATCCAAAACTTAAAGGTTCATGTCTCCGGATGAGCCAAAATATCTAAAGCAAACCAACCTTGAGGGAAAAAATATACTAAGATTTTAAGAAAAGTAGAAGATTAAAAATTCAACTTATAATTTACATGTGATATGCGATTCATGATTGATTTAACGGTATTTATCACCATATTTCTACGGCGTTACTAATGCAGGACTTTTGTTGCATATTTTGATATCTTTTTGCTAATTTACGTGGATTGTGCGTGCTGTTTGCAGTGTGTAAAATACATTTTTGGTTCACTTACCAATATTTTACTTTTAAATATATTTCAACTTTTTATTATAAAAGCTAGTATGAATCCGGAGGCATGCCTCTTTCAAAATGTATCTGTATTATATTGGTATGCATTTAATGCAAGGACTTCTTTCAGGTAGAGGGCGCTCAAGGAGATTGCTATGAAGATTACAACATACAGTTTCTCAACTTTTCTTTTTTACACTTTTATCTCAGGTAAGATACAACAATATATTTATAAAAACGTATTTGAGAAACAGAATTTCGGAAAAGGGATAACTTTATTTCATAATTTTACAAGATATTCTTACAAAGCACCTTCGCGCGTTCTAAAATACATGTAAAGTTATACAAATGCTTACACTTGTTTTATCATATTGTTTCGTGTCAAGAAACAAGTACTCGTTACACGCTATTTATCATTATAATCGTTTCTATGTTATTAGGATTAGGCGAATAAAATTGTAAATTGCCATTCCCTTTTTATTAAGACTAGGTGTATAAATTGGTAAAATTGTTGTTCGCTTGTTATTAAGACTTGGTTAAAATATGTATAAAATATGAATATCCTTTGTTAACACTTCTTTCATTGCCAATAAACAACACTTTCAAAATGATCTTTGAATTCGCAACATATTATCATCGAAACCTTAGTATATTGCCGTTTAATATAAAAATCAATATAGTCTTAGAATTCTGCGGTCCAATTTCAGATTATTTTGTTTTTATTGGGGCATACTCTAACTTTGACATATTTAATGCACCACCGGCGAACGAAGTGGAGGACTGGGAGCTGTTTGACCCGGACGAATATGTTAAGCCATCTGTAGAAATGGACGTGCCTTTGCGGTATGAGATAAAACCTACGCCAGTCATGCTGGGCATGGCAAGGTCTGAATTTTATAACCAAAGAGATTATATGGGCGCAAATCGGTTTGAAATTATACCAGATAAAGCACTCCCTGGCGTGGAGATGACATCATTCCACCATTTTATACAGAAGTGAGTACATAACATAGTCAATTATAATAGTCTAAAAATTCTCGCTGACTTGAGAAATCTCGAGTATTCTAAAGTACAGTATGTACCTTTAAAAGGTCATTTTTATCTTGAAGATTTTAATTGCGTGTTCGGTAAGCTATAGTGGCTGTTTTACAAGATATAAAATGTTATGTTGGATTCTGTCATACCACATGATGTATTTGAAACATAGGTGTTCAAGTGTTTATAAATATCATACGATAAATAAATAAATAAACAAATAAATAAAATAAATAAATAAATAAATAAAATAATTAATTAATAAATTAATAAATAATAATAATAATAATAATAATAATAATAATAATAATAATAATAATAATAATAATAATAATAATAATAATAATAATAATAATAATAATAATAAATAATAATAATAATATATTTATAATAATAAATTAAAAAATGAAATAAAAAAACACCCGCAATTCTTGGAATTGAAATTAAAATTTCAAAGGAATTAAAATGGATTTCCATTGGACCACATGGGGTACCCAAACAGCTAATTATTATGATAGCTCAATCTATGATTAGGTTCATACACAAACGTTTATTTATATTTTTATTGAAAACCGTTTTCAACCTGTCACTTTGTCATTTTGTATGTCGGAAACCTATCTATGGAAGCTTATCAGGGCCTTCACTTATCTAAAAGTTTCACGTCATGTCAACTTGTTTCTTCTCGTTTTGACCAAAAACATTCCATTAAGACGTTATGATTAATACGTAATACATAAAAATTCCATGAAGACGTTGTGATTAATTAATACGTAATACGTAGAAGTTTTTAATAATTGCGTGAGCTATTTGTCAATGCGAGTAACGTCTTTGCGTCTTACTAAATATTTCAGCAAAGTCGTGAAATCAAGAAGTTTCGATAGGATTTTTGTCGAAGAGACAAAAGCTTCAAGCATATCGAGAAAAATTCAGTAGCAATGCCTAAAATCTTCTCATCTTTGTCAGTAAATTTTATTGAGAAATGCAAAAACATCTTATCAATGCGAATAAAAATAAGTCGACTTAGCGCAAAACATCTCACCAACTGGAGGCCTTGATACGCTTCCGTACCTATCATTTCAAATCGTGACAGTCGTTTCTATTTGTTTATATATTTCCGTTGATGTAATTATAACAAGTAATTATATCGAGAAATGAAATAACAACAACATTAAATATAAAATTAATGATATTTATTTCAATTACAGACGTCAGGACCCGGTGATTGAAGAGAGTTCCGGAAATATAGGTATGTGATCATTATAATCCACATATGAGCCGCGTCACGACAAAACCAACATTATGGGTTTGCGACCAGCATGAATCCAGACCAGCCTGCGCATCCGCGCAGTCTGATCAGGATCCATGCTGTTCGCTTACAAACTCTATTACAAGTAGAGAAACTGATAGCGAACAGCGTGGATCCTGATCAGAGTGTGCGGATGCGCAGGCTGGTCTGGATTCATGCTGGTCGCAAACCCATTATGTTGGTTTTGTCGTGACACGGCTCATATATATTCAATATTTACAATGCACAATAAGTACCAGTATGTGTATCAATGAATATAAATGTTTTAAATACATATTACCTAAACAGTTTCAAAGAAATTGTTTGCGTTCATATTTTAACTTATTTACAATTACACAGGTCAAGGCTGACTAACGTGTAGCCATTAATTAGATTATTTATTATTATTAATTGCGGGTTGTTAATATTATAAATGGTTTTGAAATAGAATGTTCAACGCTTACTCAACCAAATAATGGGCAAATGACTACCGACTGTGAAAATCAGATCGAGGGCTGCGTTCTTACATTCAGTTGTAACGAAGGTTACACACTTGATGGCCCCAGTGTATTGACCTGCCAAGATGACGGGATGTGGAGCCCATCAAATAATCCTCCTGAATGCAAACAAAATGGTAAGTTCAGACTGATTTCCAAAAATAATCATTGTTAACAAAACAATATGTAATATTACAATTGTTTTCGGCCATATGCTGTTGTTTTCTTTTTGTTTACAATTACTATCGGTAAATCCAATGGCTATCAGCAATTTTTCCCCCGGTATTTTGCCCATGGTATGACGTTACTGAATGTTTCATTGGTTTGAAATGTTACTATATATAGCACAAGACTGATGCATGACGGACATGTGATTTATTGATATACAACAAAGGTCATTTGCTATTTAATTTATCTTTTATTCAGCTATTACAATACGTTTACAAATTTATAACATTTAATATCTATTTTCCCTTTTGTACAGTTTGAGTATATAAATGATGACTATTTGCACACATTTTTCTGCCAAAACTGAATCCTTAATATAATTTTTTCATCCAAAACAAAACAAAAAATAATAAATAAAATAAATGAAAAAGATAGTAAATAAGAAATATACATAAAATGAAAATATACAAATATAAAGTAAAAAGAGTTTCAGTGCAAATTAGCTGTGTTGAGTCGGTGCTAGGGGGCATGGAAGATGTCGGACATTGTCTCGCATGACTAGACTAAATCAAACCGAGTCTAAAATTTTCATTTCACAATGTTGTTTCCATTTATTCCGAAGAAGCACTCGTTTTTTCCCCAGTTTTTTGTAGTTGTATAAACTTCAAAGATGTTCATTTTTTAGTGGTCTTCATTTTATTACACTTACATTGTTAACGTTTACCGTTTAATAAGATAATCGTGTGATAACTGAATTTTCATGAAACCAGACTTTTGAGAATTCTTAGTGCTGCAACGATGGGGCAACACACTTTTAGTATGCTAATCGTTTTGCTGTCATTTTTTTCATATTTATGATACATATTTATTAAACTTGCATAACACAGTATAAACATGATAATTAATTGAGAAGAAACTGTGAACGCGGATGGTACAACAGTATTTTGAGGGTCCGGGTTTGAGGCATGGTCAAGCGGCCCATTTTACCCAATTGTAATATAAACACTATATTAACATTATCATTTTATTATCATTACATATTTACAAACTTTGTGTGCAGGTCTTGTACAGAGTTATAGCACCTCCCGTGTAATAATATTTTTTACATTATCTACACAGTTTGCCCTGAACTGAACAGTCCTGATGATGGAACCGTTAGTTACCCGTGCAGATTTGCTGGATGCACGGTTCAGTACACGTGTAATGAAGGATATGTTATTAATGGAGATTCGGCGGTTCTGACATGCCAGTCAGATGGCACGTGGAATGGAAACCCTCCTACTTGCGTCCTTCGAGGTTTGCACTTTTCAGACACAATTGAAAAAGAATATATCAAACGTTGTAAAGGTTTATAAATATAGCAGGGTAAAAGCGTTACATCAACTGGTATTTTTCGGGAGAATAATTCATTTTTGTAATCTAGTAATATTTACATTTATACAGCAAAGATGAAAATTTATTTGATAAAAACAAACATTAAATATTATAAAAATAAAGACGTTTAACTACCATGTATGAAATAGAAGCTTTTAGATTAATATTATTTCAATTATGGGTAACATATTTATAGTACATTGTGTGTCGATTGCAAAAATGTTGAAAATAACAAACTGATCTGTTTCTAATTTTACCAGATTGCGGTGACCCGGGTGTCGCGTCATCGACATTTACCGGAAGTACTACATATGGCAGCACAATAACGTTTACATGTAACACTAACTACGATTTACAAGGGTCAGCTACGGCCACATGTGAGGCTGATGGGGCCTGGGGCAGTACTCCAACATGTATTTACAGTAGGTCATTTAAAACCAAATGAGCCGTGTCATGACAAAAACAACATAGTGCGTTTGCGACCAGCATGGATCCAGACCAGCCTGCGTATCCGCGCAGTCTGATCAGGATCCATGCTGTCCGCTATTAGTTTCTCTATTTGTAATAGGGTTTGTAAGCGAACAGCATGGATCCTGATCAGACAGCGCGGATTCGCAGGCTGGTCTGGATCCATGCTTGTCGCAAACCCATTATGTTGGTTTTGTCGTGACGCGGCTCAAATATTTTTCATACCTTACAAGAAGGAAGCCATTAGCAAGACATTGGTCACATTTCGCTTATTTTTTATGTGATTTGTTTTTCCATTTCACACTTTGTTTTATTTTCAATATTTAATCTAATATTTATATTAAGTGTTCGCTATCTTTTCCTCTAATTTGCTTAACATTAGTAATTTTAATCAACTAATTGAAATAAATTATTTAAAGGGAAAGACAAGGTTAGAATAAAAACTTGATTTCAGAAAAAGAATACTATAAATAATAAGTCTGCAAATTTTCTGCCGCCAAATAATAATATTAAACGAATGATAACAAAATTTAAATCGCCAAATCACCGATTTCTACAAATCAGTAAGCGCGGCCATGTTTGTGTATTGGCCGTATAAAAACAGGTGCGCGTGATGTCATTTCCCCACATCTTTAGATTCATGATAAATCTAGATGAATCGTAAGGAAATATTAATGACCAGACAATTTAATTTTCACAGGAGGTGTAGAGGAGATTTTTTATGGTTCAAAATACGCAACAATATCAAAAAAAAAAAAAATAAAGAAACGTACGGCCAGCCAAAAGTTCTAGCCGTACGTGAGTCACGAACGACTAGCCAGGACGCACTGTACGTATTGCCGTACGGCACTTTTCAAAATTATATGGAAGTCGAACGTTATGAAATTGTTGATTTTCATGCTTATCATTTGTTGTTTTATTTGTATGAATTATTAAATCATTTTTGTTAATTTTAAGCACATGGATCGAATAAAAAATGATCGGAGTGGAATAAATAAATAAAAAGAACATTGAATAAAAAAAAAAACGGCGAAATGCAAAAATAATTATATAATTTTCAAAACAGTAGATAAATATCGAACATAAAAGCACAGTCAATCAATTAATCAGCCTTAATTAAAACCTATCCAGGGACTGACAATAGAATTTTAGAATGCCTTTCACGGAACATGCAAACTTTCCTTGATGGACAAACTTCTATACAGTACCGTCGGTAATTGTCGCAATTATCAAGAGCCTAACAACAATCATTTTCAGTGTTTGTTGTTTTTTTTTTTCATATAAAAGGTGTCGAAAATTAAACTTAATGAAACAAAACTTAAAGGATTATTATCAAAATTTTGTAAACTATTTCAATTGGTGTACATGTAAGCAAAGGCTTTTTTTTCCTCGACATTTTGCGTTGACAAAGATCGATATATATAGCGATCAAGGCGATTAATCTCTAAAAAGTTAACATCCAAAGACAATTAATGATGTTTCTTGGTTAAAATCCTCGCTTAAAGTCATAAAATAACATGCATTTTCGACTTCCATAAAATTTTGAAAAGTGCCGTACGGCTAGCCAATACAGCGTGTCCTTGCTAGTCGTACGTCACGTACGGCTAAAACTTTTGGCTAGCCGTACGGGCCCGTACGCTAGCCACTTCCATTATAAAACCCTACTAAAACGTGTTCTTAATAGTACATATAATTAAATTTTTGCAGTTTGATTCTGACTTTCAAATTTAAAGGTGTGAACATATGTTATAATTGATGTACACATTTCAAAAATATAAGCAACTCTTTTGAAAAGTAAATTGTTAACATGTCTGTCAACGTATGATGCTGCGCATCGTAATCGTAGCCTAATATTAACTGCAGGCAAATCATTTTTATTGGCTGCTCAAAAGTCTTATTTGCATAATTTATTCACACAATTGCTGGTTCTTACTATTTATGTCTAATACTGCGCATTGTCCATTTTAATTGTTCCTAATTTGCACCAAATGCTCCTGTCACACTGTGTACTGACGATTTTTATTGCTCCTTGTATGCCTCTGTGCCGACAGACCTTTTGATCATGCACAATGTTGCCCTGATTGGTTAATCACCCTTGTCAAATATTCTAATGACGAAATAGCTTAAGGTTTTCAGCGTACCCGTTTATATATATGACATGACGTGAACGCTGAAGATAACCCCGTAGGGAAAGTCCACCAATAATCGTGCCAGGAATCTGACACGCTCGTATTTATTTATCGAACATGCCACGAAGTAAAGTGAAGCATACCTTGATAAAACGATATATAATCTGTTGATAAGCCAAGGATGGACAAATAAAAATCTTATTAGGAACATAAACTACCTAATAGTTTCCGACAGGTAAAAATTTCGGCACTTGGCCGCCATCTTGCCAAAATGTTTGACCACGTGATTACGAGATTGACCTTTAGGAACCCATGTGCCTCCAATATTTTTATAGATTACTTTTTTTTAAGATGTTGAAAAAGGTTATTTACTGACTGTTATATTCAATAAAATCATATTTAAATACTAAAAAATTTATGAAAATAAATAAAAACATTATTTTGAATAAAAATATCGAAATCATGTCAACAAAATGTTCTAAATATAGTACACAACTCTATTCAAATCTGTTCCCGCGAATGACGTCATACGAGGTCTCGCGTGGCACTTGAATGTCATGGCCGATTGTAGTCGGTGAAAATCGATGTTTTACTGTTAAATAGGCAATTTTAATGACGGTATTAATATTTTATTACTTGAATTGGTATAAAACGATATTTAAATAATTGTTTTACCGTAAAATGCACAAGAATTGATCGGGTCAAGTGTATTTGCAAGTGAAAAACAAGAATAAATCAACTTATGTTATTCTGGTTAGGTTTCGTAACGGGTCTAATCCAAAACTTTAATGCCGCATCTGATGAAAAACAAAAATGTTAAAAAGCGGCTTATAAAGTTTTGGAAGCCAGAACTAATGACGAAATAGACATCAATTTTTTACGCTTCATCAGTGAACTGAATGTCCTTAAGGGGTACTAGGTTCCACACCTGTCAAATTATACTGTAGTAAATTACAGCACGTCATAAAATAGCAACACATTTTTTTCAGTTACCAATAATCATTTTAAATATGAAATAGATTTATGATTTTTTTGTTTTATTGGATTAAATTTACGGTAGTAGAAATGCGTATCTGTCGGGGAAAGGAATTTGGTAAGTAGATATATATTGGATTTAGTTGGTATTTTACCTGAAAAAAAGATACATGACCGACGGTGTACCCTATTTGGACAGCTTGTCTAGCGAAAATTAAGTACAAAATAAAAGGATATATCGTCAATTTGAAGAAGTTTCTCATAGTAACCAAATTAAATTTATGGTTTATCTTTGAAAATTAAGCAGTCATTGCTTAAATCATGTGGTGGGATCATCAGCAAGCTTGAATATCGGAGAAATAATAATTAATGTCGCGGCGTCTTCAATTAATTAATTAAAGCAATTCAGTTCCATATGATGTTTTCATAAAAAATATATAATGTACGCAATAAAATTAATAAGTTCTTCATCAAGATATATTTCAGTTGTACCAGCGTATACACCTATACCGGAAGTGGGTATTACACGTCACAATCTCGGTCTCGTCTGTCTCGCGAGAATGACAGAACGCCAAAATGGCGGCGCCCATGAACTTATTTCTCAAGTAAAAATAGTGTCTTAAAACACGAATTTCTCTCTTATAGGGTTGATGTCAATAGGAAAACTGTCATGGTTCCTTTTTTTAATGTTGAATATTCATATTAGACAGACATCAATCCATCCATTCATATCCTTTAAAATTTATTGAAAATTTTTCTAAGAATTTTGAAAAGTCATAAACCATGATGCATTTAATTCATTTGCCCAAATTCTGACCTTGTAGATTGTGGTGATCCAACTGTGGTAAACGCGCAGATTTCATACACGTGTACAGTTACGGGTTGCACAGCAGATGTCACGTGTGATGCTGGCTATGAGCTAGAAGCGAACAGTCAAATGACATGCACTGATAGGCAAGGGTGGTTATATCCACCATACTGTAATCCTATATCAGGTTCGGATTTTCCTACCTTTAAAATGAATGTTCTTATAAGTAACTATATTAGAAGTAACGTTTAACATTAAAACTCATGTAACTTACTTTTTTATTGTTTTATATCATAAATATAATGCTCAAATGAAGATTTATCAATATTGTAAGATCCGAATAGCATTCTTTGTAAAGATATTACTAAATTGATAAAAGGAGGTAATTAGAAATTTATTTTCTTTAAAGTCTAAGTCAAATATTTCAATTAGAAATGAATGCATATATTTCAATTATTACATATAATGTGGACAAATTTTTGCAGTACATATTTAACATATTCTTCCATGTTTGAAAATTGTTATAGAAGCATAATAATCTACATATATAAAATTTCAATTAAGTGTGGTAACAACATTAATTACGATATACAGGATCTTTAGATATCAATGAAACTTGCATTTTATACCTTAATGAATTTCTGTACATTAACAAAAAAATACAAACATGATTTCGTTGCTTCATTGGTTTTATTCTTAAATAAAAGAAATTAATTATGGTTTTCTTGGCACTATTTCAGCACCTTCGGAAGGAGCCAATGTCTCGGTTACATTCGAGGTGTTTTCAGAGGAGGAACAAGCTTTTGTTAGACAAAATATAGAACTAACGGTATGCACTGTTTATTTATACTAGAATATACGTTCTTAAAACAATTGAGCCGTGTCATGACAAAACCAACATAATGGGTTTGCGACCAGCATGGATCAAGACCAGCCTGCGCATCCGCGCAGTCTGATCAGGATCCATGCTGTTCGCTTACAAACCCTATTACAAGTAGAGAAACTGATAGCGAACAGTATGGATCCTGATCAGACTTCGCGGATGCGCAGGCTGGTCTGGATCCATGCTGGTCACAAACCCATTATGTTGGTTTTGTCATGACACGGCTCATTTATCAATCAATTGTCCATGTGAAAAGAAAATTTTGATATAACCATTTGTGTGGTGTACATATTAAATGCGTTCGCTCTTTACAAGTTTTCAGAAAACACTACAATTACTTATACACCTTTGATCCACCTTAAAAGTGCAAATTCATGTCCCTTGATTTATCCTTCTGTTTTGAAACTATATCTCCCGCAATTTTGCATATAAACTAAAATCATTCATCTGCTCTTAGTCAGTTTTAAAAGATCCTATAATCCTATCGTGAATCTGATTTGAGCCGTGTCATGACAAAACCAACATAATGCGTTTGCGACCAGCATGGGTCCAGACCAGCCTGCGCATCTGCGCAGTCTGATCAGGATCCATGCTGTTCGCTTTCAGTTTCCCTACTTGTAATAGGGTTTGTAAGCGAAAATCATGGATCCTGATCAGACTGCGCGGATGCGCAGGCTGGTCTGGATCCATGCTGGTCGCAAATGTATTACGTTGGTTTTGTCATGACGTGGCTCATTTGATTTTTATTTGCTAACGTGAAGAGACACAGCAATTAAAGAGATCTGTCATTTGCCGTCCTGTAAAATTCCTATAAATATAAATATTCGCTGGACTTTTTATAAAGCTCCTACAATCATAACGCTGCTCCTCTTTGCCAATCTATAAAGAACTAAAGATGCTACATTAATAAATCTACTCTTTGCCATTTTGTTTATGTCCTTCAATTATAACTCTCCTCTTTGCCATCCTACCAATGTCCTTCAGTCACAGATATGTTCTTTGCCATTCTTTTAAGATCTCACAATTATCCATCCCATCTTTGTTTACGTAAATCCTATAATTATAAATCATTTTATGACTTTAACAATATTGAAAATACTAAGAATCATAAATCCGCACCAGAGTTATTGTTATAGTGATTAGCTCATTCGCTATTGTGTTAAGGATGTTATAAAGTTAAGATTGGCTATTAACAGCGTTGTATAATTTGAATACGACTGTTGCCTGTTGTTACTGTATCTGTAAAAATACGTGTTGTTTTCAATGTTATTAAACATGAAATTTAGTCAAATTACTATTTTGTTTATATTTTGCTCCCATTATGATGCATAACTTCATGTTCCGCGCGTCTTTTTTCAGTTGTATACTATAAATCTTTGAAAAGAATTTAAAATGCTCAATAAATTTGTGTTAAATTTAGAAATATTTATCTTTCTGTCTTTTGCCAGCTTGAAGAATACTATACAGCGTCTATGCCAGGTACCTATTTCGCTGACGTCACCATCTTGAATATTGTGTAGGTTTTTAGTCTTTGTAAATATTAACTATATATTTATTATAGAAATATGTTTCAAATATTTGTTTGTTTCATTTTACGCCTTTTCCCAACAGTATTTCAGTCATATACGCTGGTAGTTTCCTAACCATCGTTCCTGGAGAGTTACACCAGTACAAGACTACCTTCCTCCGCGCTAAACTACCCAAGCATCTCCCGGGGATCGAACCCACACAATTCTATCCTGTATGTTTTAAGTGAAGTGTTAAGAATATTAAGAATATATTGAGTATGCATGCATATATTTGTCACATACATCTATTTTAATCCTTGTCGCGTAAACTAACTTAAATGGACTTGCCTATCTTTCAATCTGGACGAAACCATTTATCATTGTTAGGGAATACTACTTCAAATTTACTTTTAACTGAATAGCGAGAAGTGCAACCAGTGATCTGACCGCATGGATGTTGGGGCTGATCTTCGTCAGTGGCCTTCTTTCTATCTTGTATCAATGTCTGAGCTAGTCAACATAAGAGCCGCGTCATGACATCCGCGCAGTCTGATCAGGATCCATGCTGATCGCTATCAGTTTCTCTACTTGTAATAGGGTTTGTAAGCGAACAGCATGGGTCCTGATCAGACTGTGCGGATGCGCAAGCTGGTCTGGATCCATGCTGGTCGCAAACCCATTATGTTGGTTTTGTCGTGAAGCGGCTAATATATATATTTATCGGGCATGTGATATATTTAAAAAGTATTACATGTATTATATGACATACATTCACGTTTTGTAATTATTCGACGACATAATATTATTTCTCTGCAGAGAAAATACATTATACCATGTATCTTCTATATATCTAAACTCACCAATAACTGTGCCAATCATTGAATCCATTCAATTGTGTATATTATGTTTTTGGTTTTATCATGATTTAAAGTAATCTACTTGTGATACAGGTTTTTCACGAGTGCTGGAGAAGTAGCCCGTAAAAAGAGACAGGCATTGAGGTTGGTACATTAAACATAGTCATACTGAAATGCTTACCCGCCAAAAACATTCTCACACCGACCAATTACGTAGCGAATCAGTTATTTCCGGTTATATATTTTTTCAAAATATTGGCATAGAATAATTTACAATCACTCATCCTTTATCGCTATTATACTAATTTCCGGTTATTGTGAAAAAATAACGTTCCGGAAATGACCGATTTATTACGATATTGGCCGATGTTAGATATATTTTGGCGGGAAAACATTACAGTAAGACTACCTTAAATTGATAATTTAATGTCAAATAGAAGTTGTTAAATGCCTAACAAATACATTAATCTCATGTTCAAACTCTTTCTTAATGCGGAAAATGAAATAGGCGAGGGAGTGTTTACGTTTATATTGTTTTATGCTTCCAAATGAAAATTAAGAAAATGTATGCAGCTGATATTCCATTTGAAAGTCTGTGCAATTATGGTCACAAATTAAAACAAGAATAGAACATAAACCTGTTCCAATATGCTCTTGGATTCTTACAAGTGAAGTAATACATGTGTTTCAAAAACGGTGGGGCGTAGAGGGAAAACATCAATTTAAAACTTTTAAGGAAGTACAAAATAAAAATATGACAAGAACCTTCTGTGCAAAGGGCAAGCTCTCTATTACAATTTTAAATCTCACACTATTCACATGTTTACTTGAAAGTAAAGTAACTTGTCAGTACAATTCTTGAATATGAAATTAGTTAAATATGCTTGAAAACTGGACCATTAGATTTATTATTAGCACTTGATATATTACAAAACTAAGCAATGTGGTGACGTCACAGTAAATAACGTCATTATTCCATTTTGTTTTCAGCGAACCAACATTTGTCCAAGTAAATTATACAGTTTTTATTGAAAATACCACGGAAGCTAAGGGCGAATTTTCAACGGCACAGACAAATTTGACCCGACTTTCAACTCTACCAATACTGGGCAGAAACGTGGACGTACTCAGAACAAAACTTTTTGGATTCACATGTAAGTATTCTTTCATATTAAATTGATGAAAAATAAAGCTGTTTTCTTTTCTACGATGCAAAGATGATAACTATCTTGTATACCCGTCATTTTAGTCAAAATATGATTTTTTAGTTTTGTTTTAAACAAATGTATATTTACACGACGCATCCCAATCTGGATCCACATAAAAGTCAGAAGTCCGTAAGACATGGAATCTTATCTAACCTTCTACTTACCAAAACTCCACACAGTGATTACCACCCTTAGCGGATTGTAATGATGAAAGTCACATGACGTAACACTCCTACACGGTGATCTCCCCTTACAGGTCAAGATTTTGTCGATATGATTTTTTTCAATATTGATATTTATCTTAAAAAGAAAACAGGGTTTTGCTAATGTTTCAAGACAGTATAAGGTGTTAGATGTGAACTAAAATAACAAATGATTTCGGAAACGTAAATATTATGAAAATAATTTTTAATATCGAACCGTTTATTTCCAAAACAATGACTGTTTTCGAAAGAGAAATCATTAATGTAATTAATAATTTCGATTCTACACTAAAAGAAAAATGAAATTTTTGCAATCATATCGACAGACTTGACACCAGAGCCCAAGTTATAAAGTCGCCGTTTATTACAAATAAAACAGTTGTTTAGCATTTTTTTCGCGTATCCGCCATCTTGACACAATCATGTGATAAGACTTTTATCACGAGATTTATGTGAAGGCAGTAGTTACTGGCCGTAGCGTAGCCGGTGCGCGGAGTTTGCGAAATTCAAAAAAAATGGACCGTTACATTAAAAATCGATCGTCACTCTCGTCACATTTCACTTTCTTTTGTACCTACGTTTGTTAAAGTTTATCAAAAAAATATCAAAAGTAAACAATATAATGAAAAATAAATTCAAAAGCTAAAACTATTATTAACAAAATGTTGTAAAAAATGTTTGTGGTGGCAGATATGTCTGTACTGTTAAGGGGAGATCACTGCGTAAGACATTGATATGAACCTCACATAATAAACAAGGGAAGTAAATCATACGTATTATCAAGGAGATAGATGGCCCGTGAAACTAAACTTGTTATATATTTTTGTTTTAATGTATGGCTATGAATTTATTATTTAATGAATTTCCTCTTTATAGGTCTTTTCTTTGTCAAATAGAGTAATATGAAAATATTAAATTTGAAACACAGATCAACTTTATGAAATAAATTTGCTTACATGACATAAAAACTTGTGATTCTTTCTTCATGGAAAGTGTCTTAAAGCGAATTGATCTATAATGAGCCAATCAATGAGCAAGCACTATTTCAGTTCAGACCTGGAGTGCGCATAAATAATACCTGTATTCCAGTTAACGCACTACACATATATGTGTATACGGTTTAACTGACACACCTTAGTAAGGTTACAATATAATAATCAAAGCACAGAAGGCGCTGAATTTGTTTGGGTCTCAGAATGTCAGAAAAGTGAAGGTTGTGAGATTATAAACCAATTTGTTTTTGTATAGTGCCACCAATGTTTTCCAGCGTTTTAATGGTCGTAAATTGGCTATAAGACTAATTGCAACACTGATATTCAATTCAATGGTTATTTGACTTAAACAATTTGAAAAAAAAAATTAGTTGCCTTAACTGGGATTTGAACTCCAGACCTCTCGTTTCCTAAGCGAGTCTGCAAACCCCTCGGCCATGGTGAACTTATAACGGCCTGAAGAAAACCATATAATTCTAAATTATGGTTTGTAATCCTTATTATTTCGACGCTAACTGTTGTTTAACACAGATGTAAATAATCATGCAGCTTACGATAAGCATGTATATCTATAAGAAATAAAACAATATTAGAAATCTTCGACCATTTGGAAACTATTTAGCTTGAAAATTAATTCGCCTGTCATTTGACCATCTTTACGCAGTGATCTCCCCTGAATTTTTCGGCGTTAGTGTACATATAAAAGGAACTAACCGATTTAAAAAGGCGGACTACTTTCGGCATTTGCAATTAACAGCATCAGGGTCTCAAATTTCGCTACCATTATTTGTTTGGGTCTGACGACCCAAACAAATAAAAACTCTTGGTAATATTATTAAAAATTAGTACGCATTTAATTGACTTTAAGATATGTGTCACTATTGAATATTATCACGTTGTTACTTTTAAATGGCTTCATTTAATCGACCTCGGTGAGTTGAAAATCAGTAACTCAAGCATTGCAAGTTATATTTACTTGATTATAGTGGGGTTAACTCCTCATTATAATTGATAATGTTTATGCTTGTATAAATCGATTAAGAAAAATTAAAAACGAATGTTTGTGGGTGCATGTGCGTGCGTGTGAGAAATGAGTCATTATATTTGGTGGATAAATTGTTAACACGAATAAGAATTGCCATGTTATTTAAGAATACATTTCTTATTATACAAAACATGTCTTTATGTTTTTATAATCAATGATGAATTTTTATTTTTCTAGTTGAGAGACCAGACAGTAAGCTATCCCAAAAAATATATGTTTTGTTTTGTTTTGTAGCGTTGCCCTAAATAACAAACTTAACGTCTATGTATATGGTATTGATGATTCAAACTACTATGCGAATTTTGCATCGTTTCGTTATTTTTTCAGATTCATTTTTTTTTTGTAACCACTCGTGTACATATGATGTTATTAAAATCAAGTCATTGAATTGCATGACGTCATCACCTTCTTTCGTTTAATATACATGTATATAAGAATCCACGATAAGGTAACGAAGACTGCCGAATTCGCATTATTTATAATAAATAAAATTTATGTTGTTAATACAAATTGATGGTTAAGGAAAGGACATTCATTTACTCATTTTATTGAAGGGAAATATGCTGTTGAACCCAATTTGACGCCGATGACGATAGTATTTTCAAAATAATTTCAATTTGGCGTTTAACTTTGTATTTTCTCGCTGCATATTTCCAACAATAAAACGAATACTTGAATCATATGTACTAATATTTAGTAATATTAATATGTTGTAATGACTCAAATTAATATTATATGTTAATATGTTGTGTTTATTTTAACATTTACACATTAATATGTCATAAATTAATGTTAATAGCATGGAAAAGGATAACAAGAGACTACTTTGTGTTTGTTTGTTAAGCTTATAAAGTTTTATGTTGTTAAGTTGCCTTGCATTATTAACACAGAGAAGGATCAAGAGAGCTACTTATAAGTGAAAATAATATGAGCTGCGTCATGACAAAACCAACATAGTGCTTTTGCGACCATCATGGATCCAGACCAGCCTGATCAGGATCCATGCTGTTCGCTTACAAACCCTATAACAAGTAGAGAAACTGATAGCGAACAGCATGGATCCTGATCAGACTGCGCGGATGCGCAGGCTGGTCTGGATCCATGCTGGTCGCAAACCCATTATGTTGGTTTTGTCGTGACGCGGCTCATATATAACATTTGTATGTCATTTCTAATTATCTAATCGACAATGAAACTAATAACATTTGTACCATTTAACATGTATATGTCTAGCTTTTTTTAGTATTAATGTAAAAAAGGATAACAAGAGATAAAATGTATATGATTTTTTTTCATATCAAGTGACATTATGCTTATTTTAAATTGTCTAGTTTACTTGAATTGACTATATATTTCGAAAGAATAACTACAACAATGGTGATTGACCAACAGTTGATAATGGAAAATGGAAAGGAGAAAATATATATATGGCTAAAAGTTTAAAAAGCTGTCCCATTCGTTTTAAATTAAAAGTTTTAGGTAAATTCCCTCGGGTATTTATGGAAATTTCCTTGGGCCACATCAATTATCTATCGTTCATGCTTAGTTAATTGTCTTGCTTAGTAAATTGTAAAATTGAAAAGAATAATGGCAAAATGTAAACATAGTTTGACTTTACCTTTTCACTCACTTTGTACCACTGGATGGGCATAATGTCACTTCAACATTCATGTGCTAGATTTATTGTATGATAACATGAACGAGGATAACAAGATACTTAACAATGATATTTAGAAATCGAGTGCATTGTTGTAGAATATTGCACGGTTCGAGTTCAAATTAACAGGAATTTAATCACAAAGGCCGAGTGATTAATTTCAAAGCATTTGAACGATAAGCTGTACATTATTATACTATAATGCATGAAAAATTTATATCTTTTTCCATTCTGACATGCTAGTAAAAAGAATAAATGATAAAAATATGTTGAGCTGCTTTTAGCGTAGGAAGTAATTCTTCTGACGTTATTTAATTTTTGACGCCATATATGACGTCATGTGACGTGTTAGAATTTGTTTTATGCTGTGCATGTAGCTATTAATAATGCACTTGCTTGTCCTATTTGTTTGATAAGGGAATAATAAGAAACGTGATAGAATATTGCTGTCTTACCGGTATGCCACATAAAAACATTTGCATATGCTGATGATAACATTTAACATTTTTATGTTAATAACATGGAACAGGAGAACATGTGTTGTTTGTGTTGACAGTTGTTAATAACATTTAACATTTTTATGTTTAGTCTAATTTATAATAACATGGAACAGTGTAACAAGAGTTGTTTGTATTGTTCATAACGTTTAACATTTTGTTTGTTATGTTTTAGTTTATAAATAACATGGAACAGGAAAACAAGATAGGTGTTTGTAGATTGATATTTGAACAATTTACATCGATGTTTTGTTTTGTTGTAGTATTAACATGCTATAGAGTAAAAGGGGCAATGTTTGTTTGTTTGCAAAGATGATAACATCTAACATTTTATTGTCATGTTTTTGTTTATATTCTAACGTGGAACAGTATAACCAGTTTTGTTTATGTTGTTCATAACGTTTAATATTTACATCGATGTCATATTTTGTTCTTTTATTAACATGTTATAGATTTAATGGAGCAGTGTTTAATTGCCAAGTTGTTAACATCTAACATATTATTGCCATGTTTTTGTTTATATTCTAACACGGAACAGGATAACTGAGCTGTTGTTTGGTTCTAAATATCATAACATTTAACATTTATATTTTGTTTTGCATACTTATAACATGGAACAGAATAACAGATATCTGTGTTTGTATAGATCGTAATATTTGATATTTACATGTATATGTTTTTGTGTTTGTATATTTCTAACAGAACTGTTATTCGTTTTTAAAGATCATAATATTTAACATTCATATTATATGTTTTATAATATTTTTAACGTAGAAAATAACATAAAGGTTAATGTTTGTTTGTCATGGCTATAAAACTAATATGGCATGCGTTTAAATATTGTTAACAAGGAGTAAGTTAATAGGAGTTTTTTCTTGTTGGTGAATGTGGATATAATTTATTGTAACATTTAACGTACATAACATGTTGAATTACAATATTAACATCAAGCATAATAATTAACAGGAGAGGATTTTGTTTTGTCGTGTGTGTAACATTTAACAATTACATGTCATGTTGTATTACATAATTAACAAATAACTGGAATAAAAAAAATGCTTTTGTCGAGATGATATACACTTTAATATTTTACTTCACAATGTCATTTTGTGCTTCCTGCAAGATAGGATAGAAATTAATTTTAGAGATTTCGGATTTGTAACAGTAACATTTGAACAATAATTATGCTTTAATGTATTTAACTAATGTCATTGTTGGTTTAAGTTATTTTAACTTTGACCTGTACACTTCAATGAGCATGATGTCGTTTTAATTATAACATTATTTGTACTGCAATAATAAATTAATTTTTTAACATTTTAAGTATTGCACTTTTGATGATAACATAAGCTGTATTGTAATCATAATGATAACATAGTTTGTTTTGTGTTTATAGTAATGCTAGTTTAAGTATTACAATTTTGATGATAACATTATCTGTGTTTGAATTTTAAAGATACCATTTGATTTATTGCAGTAATAGTAATAAGGATTATTTCATATTTGATGATAACATAATTTTTATTGCATTTTTAATTAGAACATAATTTGAATTGCATTTTTGATAAGAACATCATTTGTATTGCATTTTCATTTTAATAAGAACATAATTTGTGTTGCATTTTTATGATAACCTAATTTATATTGCAATTTTAATGATTAATTAATTTGTATTGCAACTTTGATAAGAACATAATTTAAATATCAGTTTTATGTAGCATCACTGTAATGTTTATTGCAATTTTAAGAATACCATCATCTTCTTATATATCTTCTAATTATTACAGTATTGATCAATTAGTGATTTGTTTAGAAATCAAAGAAGGGTCAATGCATGACTTTTTCATTTTTTTTCGTATGACATAGGGGCAACATGCTGAAACATTCTCTTTTTTCAATTATATTTATATTATATAACATTATATAAAGAGATTTACTGTGCCATCATCTATGATAAGTATATTTAGTTTTGTCATTTTATTAATCTAAACAATTATCTTAGCTTCTAAAAATGCCTATATCGCTGTAGATATTTTCAGAGAAAGTGTTACCTTTTGTATTTCAGATGTTAGAAACGACACAACACATCTTGATGGCCTACAGGCCGCTTCCTGCCAGATATTTGAATATACTATAAATGGTTGTCCGGAAGGTACTGTTTGCCGTGTTCATTTGGAGGACGATACTACTCGTTGCGAGTAAGTATATATTTTATTTAACCCATCCCTTAAGTTTTATCATACGTATTGTATAATTATTATATTGTCTTAATATTTTTAACCTCCTGTCCATTTAATGGGCTTGCCCAGTTTCCATTCAACAATTGCCTAACCCTTTTATGAATTTTTTAAATATCTAGATCAATTTTGAATATGTAGGCTGAGCTAGCCTCTTTGTGTGTGACACCTTCTGATCACTTTAGGTTCAAGTCGGTGTAGGGATATATACGATTTCTTGAGATGTAATACAGCTCATTTGTAACGTCGTTTCTCATTGGACAATTATGACGTATATCCTACATTATTCACTGGTGCCACAAATATATGTTTTCATGTTATGTAACTGTCTGTAATAATAGGATGTTTGCGATATATCCATAACTTCAAAGAAGCTGTTTCGTTTTTGCCTGATCACCTATAAACCTACAAAAATCTTAATATCTCATAATATCCAGCTTAAGTCCTGAATAAGGAGCGGTGATTTAAACTATGCACCGACTTGTGCCTACATTTGCGGCGCACAGAGAAGCTCTAGGGTAGGGACACTTATACTAAAAGAAGCTATATACATATAGGACATTAGAACATATTTTCTGTGCTCGTGTGACCAAACAGAAATGACAATTGTCAATTTTATTACAATATCAATTTCCTGTAAGACAACATAGTACAGATATATTTTTTTAACAACGTTCTTTGAATATGCTGTTAAACAACGACACGACTGACACAAATGTCAGTAAAATGATATAACTAAAACCTGTGTCAACTGTATGTGTGCATCACACATATATATAATATTATATATGATATTATATGTTTTTATATGATTATATGTAAGGTTATTGTCAAACCTTATTCATTTTCTTTGTTGTTTTTTTTTCTCTCACACAGTCCTATAGCCTCCGGACTCAGTGACACAGGTGAGTTCAAAAATTTTGCCGTTCGTTTTGTTAACTTGTTTAAAATGTTTTCATGTTGTAGACAAATGCATTAAAAAAATTTTGTTAATGCTAAAACTGTGTACATATGATGGAATACTGGACGCACAATTTGAACTTTGTATCAATATTTTCAAAAACGATTAACTATTAAAATGTTCAGTTCTTTATAAAAAAAAAGAAGAATATGTTCAATTTTAGAAATTACAAACCATTTTGGGGATAATTTTACGTATTTCCCATTCATAACCTTATGGTGTATTCCCCTTTATTAATTCAACTATTGAAACGTTCAGTTCTTTATAAAAAAAGATTTTCAGAATATGTTCAATTTTAGAAATAACCATTTTGGGAATAATTTTACGTACTTCTCATTCATAACCTTATGGTGTATTCCCCTTTATTATCTCAACTATTGAAATGTTCAGTTCTTTATAATTTTCTTTTTCAGAATATGTCCAATTTTAGAAATAACAAACCATTTCGGGAATAATTTTACGTATTTCTCATTCATTACCTTATGGTGTATTCCTTTATTATTTCAGATGATGATTTTGCCCTAAAGGTTGGTCTTGGTGTCGGTATAACAATGTTTGTGTTGTTATGTGCAATATTAGGATGTTGTTGTTACTGGCTTGTTTTAGCAAGACGTAGAAAACGTAGAAGAAAGAGAAAACGTCGCTATGTACGAGAATACGACAGTTCAAGCTCGTAAGTTTGGTTTAAAGAACTTGTATGTTGTACAACGCTTAAGAGAAATTTTATATATGAGCCGCGTCACGACAAAATCAACATAATGGGTTTGCAACCAGCATGGATCCAGACCAGCCTGCGCATCCACGCAGTCTGATCAGGATCCATGCTGTTCACTATCAGTTTCTTTACTTGTTATAGGGTCTGTAAGAGAACAGCATTGATCCTGATTAGACTGCGTGGATGCGCAGGCTGGTCTGGATCCATGCTAGTCGCAAATGTATTACGTTGGTTTTGTCATGACGTGGCTCATTTGATTTTTATTTGCTAACGTGAAGAGACACGGCAATGAGCCGCGTCACGACAAAACCAACATAATGGGTTTGCGACCAGCATGGATCCAGACCAGCCTGCGCATCCACGCAGTTTGATCAGGATCCATGCTGTTCACTTTCAGTTTCTTTACTTGTTATAGGGTCTGTAAGCGAACAGCATGGTTCCTGATTAGACTGCGCGGATTCGCAGGCTGGTCTGGATCCATGCTGGTCGCAAACACATTATGTTGGTTTTGTCATGACGCGGCTCACATGTAATAACTATTCTTGTAAAACAATTTCCAAACATCTAAGAATATGTTAAACATGTGCTGCAAATAATTCTACGCATTATAAGTAGTCATTAAAATATATCCATTCATTTCTTATTGAAAAAAAATTGGCATAGACTTTATCGAAAATAAATTTTTAATTACCTCCCTTTATTTACATGAATTGAAAATTCGATTATTTCTTTACAAATAATGCTTTTTGGAACTTACAATATTGATATATTCTCATTTGAGCATCATGTTTATGATATTAAACCATTAAAATGAGTTGTTGGATCTTTTTTAACATATTTTATTTGTCATATACAAGAGCAAATTTTACATTGCATTTACAATCAGTACAAAAAATGATTAGACTGCAACTTGATGCTAATTGAAGTCTTTTCCTAATTAATCATTTCTCGTAAGTTTGAAAAAGAAAATAAACATTTTTCAAATCTTTAAATGCATGGTTATATTGCATCTTAACTTATATAGTATGAAATTTCTCTTTTTTCAATTAATGATCATAAGCAGATAATTTTCAAAACGAAACATGTATAAGTAACAGAATACACACGTTTTATTCATTATAAACGCCGCTTTGTTTAATGTACAACAAATAAGCATAGTATATTCATGCTCTTAGTAGGCATTATCAATTTACAAAATTAAATACAAAAGAAAATTTCATATTTATTGAATTATGGTTTAAAAAAACCCATTCTAGTTATTGTTTTAGATAATGTCTGCATATATAGCAATGATTTAAAACGATGATTAAAATATTTATGAGGAGATTTACTAAGAAGCAACAAGGTTTCTTCAATGTTGATATTCTTCTAGAAATTAAAACTGCCTAAATCATAGTGAATAAGCGGAGTTTTTTATTTAGATGTTACATAGTTGTAAAAAAATATTAAAACAATTTGTTTTTCAGAGATTATCTTTTTTTTGTAATACGAGAAAAGATTCAGACAATTGGAAATGCAAACGAGTAATTTAACTTATTTATTATTCTTAATCTTCTTAGAGCAACAAGGAGTGGATTTGCTCCGGGCATGATACCTATAAGATTCGACACTGTCGGTCGTAGAGGCCCGGTGTATGGATCACAATTTCCCGAGCTTTGGGAAGGCACGGAGTCCGTGGTAGATTCCAGTTATGACCATTCTCCTCAACCTCATCGACGCGGTTCTTTCCCTTATGTCGTGTCAATAGGACATGAAGGTTTGTACAATTCATTTAAATTGGAAATTTCTGGTTTTAAATGTGTGAACTTTTGTACAATCCATTTAATAATTATGATAACGGTAACGAGCTAATGTTCAGCGTTTGTTAATTTGGAATGTGTGTTTCCTTGTCAAAATACATCGTCTGTGAACCGAGTTGCCATGCAGTGTTTATCCGCCAACAATGTTGTTTCAGCAAAAACTCATTAAGAAGAATATAAGATTTTGTTTTACCACTCAACAATGTGTAATTACTTAAAAATTATACTATAAGCTAAGATTTATGTTTTTTTATATATAAAACCTAGTATTACACCGTTGCATTTTGGTTTAGGGCATGCTGTTAAACATGATCTACTCATTTGTAATAAAGATGTGAATGGAATAATCTTTATTTAACGTGTGACCATTTGTCAGACATTTGTCTGAATGTTTCTTTACGTACAATTTGATGATATACCATTATACAAAGCTAAACCTATTACGTTTTAAGTACGTCATGAAGGTGATACGCCATTCTTAACATTTAATCTAGTTTTGTTTTTTTAAGATTGTATACGTCCTAATAAATTTCAAATTATTTTTGTACTAATTTACAATAAATAAACGTTCTAGAAATGTTTTGAAGAATTTTGAAGAATGTACATTGTTTCATTTTTTTGTACTTTACAATAATTGCTTTAAATTTTTTTTCAGAAGAAAGACGGCCATATACATCAAACTTTTCATGGGACTTTATGTATCCCCATGTCGATGACGACGTAAGTATCTTTTTGATTTCGTTACACTTATATACAAAAAAAAACTATAGCAACAACAGCAGCAAACAAATAACAACAAACAGTGATATCTATATACATGTACATGTAATAAAAAAATGTATCTTTTTAAACCATTTAAAAAAACTGCACCCGCTAACATTATGCATAGATCCCTGACCTGTCTAATTCTAATTATCAGATTAGTGGACACAAAAAGAATTTCACCACAACATATTTGTTTACAAAGGAGCACATATCTATGCTTGTTGTTATATTCATTGTTAATCAATTTTAAGTTCCAAGTATGAATCTATTAAATGAACGGACTTTCATTTTGTAACAGTCAAATACAAGTTGAGTAATAACTTTTTGACTCTTTAATAAAATAGAAAATCAGTCAGCCTAGCCAAGTTGCCTGTCTTTCAGTGTAGCTCAATGGTCTAATAAAACTCAGCCTAAAATATACCTTCATTGATACATGTGTTGTCTTTTCCAAGTACCTTTGGGAGCATCATTCCTATGAACAGTTTTTATCATGTACTAATTGTTTTTAATAAATAAAATTAATGCATTTTATCATGTACCTATAATTTGTAATCCAGAAATGCATGTTTGCAAATTCCTCAAATATTAAGTTGTTTGTTCTCTTTAAAATCTAAAATAATGACAATAGTTTCCAGAAGTTTGGCGTTTTATTTTTTATTGTTAAACTATAACACTTTGCTAATCAGAATGCTTTGAAGGAGGTACATGATTGCTCAAATCTATGATTTTGAACCAACCACCGAACCTTTTTTTAATTTTATTTTCAGTTTTCGCTGCCACGACCAAAGTTGTAACCTCATTGTTAGTATATAAACCTTTGTCACATTGATTTCTTAACAATTCTCTATAGAATAAAAATTTTTGTACTGTTATTATTTCTTTAAAATTGAGTAATTATCTTAATACAAATCTTATACATTTACATTATAATTGTTGAGCCAACCGGTACTCTATACAATCCCTTTGATAAAAATGTCTTTTCATTTGGTAGTCAGTTATTTCGTCAAACTCCTAAACTTTTCAATTTTGACATTCTATGGATGGTTTCACATTTTTAAAGCATAACGAAAAGACAAAAAGCCTTTGCTGGTATTTTTTCATAAATTCTAATGCAATATATTGGACTTCGCACAGAATCAATGCTGAAGACACAAGAAAATCCTGAATATGTACTATGATATTTCGTACTGTTCAACGTGAAGCCTTTGGCAGCAAACAAAAACGAAAATGATGATTGTATAGAAAAGACTATTCAACTGTAAACTTTAAACACCAATAAATTTTATATATATATTCTTGTATCTCTTTTCAGGAACAAATAATGTAAACATATGTTTATTCTATGACTATGAAAGGACTATGGTGTAGGGAATAAATATGTGATTATTCGAGGAATTTTTGAAGGAAAACATTTAGAAACTACATCAAGGCAAATGCAACTTCAGAAAACTATAACAAAGCTTCAAACACTTTAGATATTAAGTTGGTTTAGATATCATCCCAAAGTAGTTAGTATAATAAAAAAATAGCCAAGCAATTATCATGAGAGAAAAAAACTTCAAATGAAATTACACATAAAATAATTGCAAGGAAAATGTTCTACACGCCTATTCCGATGCTAAAGATATTTATAAACGAATAAACGTTTCGTGGAAATTAAATTTCAACGTTGAATTTCAACTTTGAAAGGAGACTACAGTAAATTTATGGCTGTGCCATATAAATACTTTCGGAGACCTCAGTAGCCTCTACTATGATTAAATCTTCGTAGGAAAGAATAGAGAAAATTTTCATTGTTGACATTCTGATAGAACAAAGATGGAACAATAGGTTTCTAGAACTACTCCCAGTTGTTTGTGTTTAATTGTTTGTGTGAGTACCTGTGTTTTTCCCGCTGCTGATATTAGAGCAAGGAGAATATTATGTGGACAATTAGGAAATCTTTTTTTTTAAATCTATTGTGCAATTGTTAAAATGGAGAACTGACAATTTTATACCTCGTTTAAATTATTATATCAAACTGATATGTTAGCTTTAATTTATTATTATTATTGTGATAATATGTTAAACACGGATTCTGTTATCATTTTATATTCTCCCTCACAGTCAATAAGAATAATAATGCCAATTACATCAACTTCCGGTATCGTCATCAACTTCCGGTATGGTCTAAATCTAAGTTAACATAAAATATGTGTATAAGTAGAATGAACGCATGCATAATAGGATATTTAAATGACGCTTTCATGGAAGCGTAAAAGTTGCAGTGTCGTTAGTAACGCTTATTTTAGCTATTTGTTTGTACCATCTTTCTATGAGCGAACTCTTGATAACTATCTCTGATTTTTTTCTAGCATAAGCTTATTAACTGCAATCTTGATATTAATAACAAGTATATCACAACACTGTGTACCTATTTTAAATACATGGTTCACGGGATTTGCGAAATCAATACAATTTAGTTGGTATGAATTTTATATTATATTTGTATGACAATTTTTAAAACTAGAGCTATGCAATTTTTTTAGACTTTAAATAGAATTATTTGTTTCAGACGAATATTTCAAACTTAACTGAACAATGAGTCCTTTAGAATGTTAAAGATACATGATATTGAAGATTACTTTTCATTTTGGATTAATTTACTAAGATATTTTCTTCATATTTTTTCTGCTTTATAATCAACAGATATAATTTCTTTATTAAGAATCAGAATTTATGTTGAAGAACATACAATTTTGTAGCACAAAGAAGAAATGTTAAACTATCAACAATAATGCTTTGGGTATTTGGCATTTCAAAGACGTTGTAAAAAGTGAAGAAAAAAATCTAATATGCTTATCACTTCTCTTTGACTTCATAAGCACATATATAGTAGACCTGCACATAAGATATTATCATTACACATTAATTACATGCATTTATATATCATGTATATGTTGCTTATGTATATTCACATTACAAAGTTTTTTTTGAAATGAGTAAATTACCTTTGAGTGCGTTGTCGAGCATTATGGCACAGTTTGTCGTACAATATGGCACAGTTTGCCGTACGATATTGCACAGTGTGTCGTACAATTTTGCACAGTTTATCGTACAATATTCCACAGTTTACCGTACAATATTTCACAGTTTGTGATACAATATTGCACAGTTCATCGTAAATATTGCACAGTATGTCGTACAATACTGCAAAGTTTGCCGTGTATTAAGTAAATATGCATACCCTTATTAAACGTTTAATGATAAACGGTGTAATTTTGTATGATTGCAGTATCAAATTAGAACATTACTGCCCTTTATAATTTTAACATAAATATAATTCCGGCTTAATGAAAGTGACGTAGTCTACTTTATATTGCATCTTCATTTAAGCGACATTTCGGGAGATTAAACAACTCTTTCATAAAAATAAACAAATATAATTAACTGTCTATTGCACCATTTTATTTATCAGACGTTTCGTGACATTAAACCAGTCTTTCTTAGGAATAAACAAATATAATTAACTGTCTATTGCACCATTTTATTTATCAGACGTTTCGTGACATTAAACCAGTCTTTCTTAGGAATAAACAAATATGGATTAACTGTCTATTGCACCAACATTTTATTTGATCGACGTTTCGAGACATTAATCCTGTCTTTCTTAGGAATAAACAAATAATGATTAACTGTCTATTGCACGATCGACGTTTCGAGACATTAATCGTGTCTTTCTTAGGAATAAACAAATAATGATTAACTGTCTATTGCACCAACATTTTATTTGATCGACGTTTCGAGACATTTAACCACTCTTTCTTAAGAATATATAATATTTTATTTGTAAATGATATCATTAATATAAATACATGTTTTGTCTCGTAAAGACATAAAGATAATGCCGGTCATTCATCGTTATTTGCCAAAAGAAATAATTTACGTGTGTTGGAAAAGGACTGTTGCGTTTCGCACTCTGGTAAATGTATTTTATATTAAAGTGGGACTGCTTGAAATGATATTCATACATATATTTATACTTTACTTATAGGGATGTTTTCTTTGGGAATTCTTGTACATTTTATTGGGAAATATTTTAACTTTTCGGAATAACACAACCTTTATGTATCTTTTAAAAGCTTTTAAACAAAAATGCAATTTGTTTGGAATATAGGGGTATTTTTGTCTTGGCAAAATCTTTATATATTTCTTTCTGATAGGAAATATATATACAATATAAAAAAAATTAATGTGGGTCCAATTGCTGTCTTCCGTAGACATTCAATTGCGCACAAAAAAGGGAAATAAATATATTTCATTTGTAAAGCAAAATGCATTTTTATTGGAATTTATATAATCAGTTGCATAAAATGTATTCAAGTGGGTTAAAGAAAAAAGAAAGAAAAAAAAAACGGATCAAAGACTCTAAGACTAAAGTTACACTAAATATACATGTATATGTTGACTGTATACTTTAAAAAGTTACTAACAAAAAGTAAATGTCCTGCTGCAAAGTCTGAACTCTGAACCTAAAACATTTTCCTGTCAAAGCCATGAAATCGCAATAATATTTTAAAAATGAGAAAAGACAAACACAATATTTATTAACAAGTTTGTAACTTAACGGGCTTTGGTTACACAAAAAGCATTTGTTTAGCATCTACACTTTAAAAATAAATCCACCAAATTCAATCATTCAATATTTTAAAAACGATACCATTTAAATATATAATGACCAATTTAATATTAAGACTATTTTTAAGTAAAATAATTCCTATCAGTTAAAAGAACAATTGAAAAAGAAAAGTAGTCCAAGTTTTTTTCCACATCTGGTAGAGATTTTGGCAGAGGTTTTTATGTTTTAAGCAGGTTTTACAATTTTATTGGTAATAAATAGCATGGAAATTTCGTGTGCGTTTTTCACTCGAAAGCAAATGCATGAATATACAGGTCTTTAGTTCTCATACAAGTACAAAACGTTACTGATATTTTACGTTTCAAATTTATAAAGTGTTTTTCCGAGATTTAATATCGCAGAACCAGGTTCAAATTAAATCCTGGGTAAACACGTTGTCGTCATCTCAAAGGGCGCTGTCTTGAATTGGATCTTGTAAGAGCTATGGTTGAGCTAATTGTTTTGTCATAAAACATATGATTATTTTCTACATATCCATCAACTTACCTAAAAATCAAGAGACGTTCGTTTTGAAGAAATTTTAATTGTTTTTATGTTATGCATATTTTTCTTTTGAGATAACAGGGATGCTGTTTCCAAAACTTAAGCAGCAGCTTTTCACATTTTGTTGTTAAGTCATTAAAGACATCAGACTCGTTTGACCAAATAAAAAGCACACGTGTGACCTCACGTAACTTCCCCCAATAGATAAATTGTGTGTATTAATGGATAAAGGAAAACAACAACATTATACACAAATGAAATTATTAATAATATTAGAGCAGACTTCTTTGCCCTTTTTATCTGAAATACAATTGTGAAACGACATCTTTCCGCCACAAACCAAAAACTCCTTCCGAAGAGATCTCGCAAACCACTTAGAGAGTTCATCATATAAACTTTTGGGCTCTGCAATCGTGCCTTAATCTTCATTCAAAGAGTTTTTGATGATACATGTATATTTTTTGTATCTGAATAGTTTCAACTTAAGTCTGATTTAGTAGAATCTTTATTTTAAAGACCCTGGTTTGTTATACAAAGGGTATGTCTAGAAGCGCAATGAATTAAAGATTTGTGATTTAAATGTGAATGTGGGCAGAATAAAAACCTATTTTGACGAATGTACTTTTGATCTGCCTGGGCAT